CCTAAGGGTGATGGGATGGCATAAGGGTGGTGTGGAGGTGGCGTGGAGCTGTGCTCTCTGTCCTCAAGGTGCTGGGATGGTGTGGGGATGGCACAGAGCTGTGCCCTCCACATCCAGGCCCCAGGATGGATGGGAGAGAGGGGAGAAGGGACACTGCAGGTGTCTTGCAGAGGAGACAGAGTGCCAGTGGGCAGGATCATGATTAAAGACAAAGTGCCTCRTGCCCTCCACCCCCAGAATAAATAGCCTGGATGGCAGTGACGGGAGCCCAGGTGGTGCAGTCCTGCCCTCAGGGGCTGCCGTGTGAGACCCGCCGTCACACGGCGCAGATGCCATTGTCCCCGAGGATAATGAGGCGGGTTACATTGTTGGGAGAGGATTAGAGCAGCCGCTSTGTTTTGATGGCCTGCTTCTCATTTGCATCTTGAACGAAGTGGGAGCACAGCCAGGTTCTGTTCTTTTGTGTTTACTTCTGAGGAAGTGTGTTTATTTCCGATGATTACAAATAAATCTCGTCTGCCTTTGCTCCAGCAGCCCGGAATAAAAAACATCCGGCGCCCCTTAACTGCATAGCCGGGGTGAATATTGGAAGTGAAGGAGAAATCCCATTAGGAGTCCCCGGAAAATATAATAACAATTTCTTCTCAAAGACAATGGTGTTTGTGCTGCCCCTGTGACAGGTATTTTGGTTGGAGGCTTCCCAGGGTGAAGCATCACCCGGTTGCTGTCGAGGGGCTTCGCTCCCGATCGGGGTGAGCTATTTTAGCCGCTGAAAACTGGGTCAGCCGGCGAGTTTGCAACTGGTTTTGGCATCTCCATTTGTCATCCTGACGAGACACGTTACCTACAGGAGAGAGAAGCAGTTTGGGGTGGAAGGGCCATAGAGGAGTTTAAAAGTAGAGTGCTGTTGGTTTGAACAAGGAAACAGGAGGGGTTTGAATMATGGAATCATCAAATATCCATGGTTTTAAGGGACACACAGGGATCATTAAGTYCATGTCCTGGCTCTGCACTGGACAGCCCCAAAAATCTCACCATGTGTTCAAATAGGTTTGGACAACAAATTTGGGTTGATCATCCCCCCCAGCCTCTCAGCACGGACAGGGACCGGTTGTCTTGGCTCTGCAGGTCCAAACRTGTCCCCTGTCTTTCTCAGGATATGCATCAATATTTTGGGGTCCCATACATCCCTTTCCTCACCCACTGAGAGGTTTTTGCAAGATTTCCTTCACGTTTCCAATGCTTTGTGTGCAATTCATCCCTCAGAATTACTGCCAGAAAACTTGCACTGACCCTGGACAGAGTATTTTCCTCACCACGGGGGAGGCATTGAGGGCAGCCCCAGGCTTTGCCCCCATGTTCAGCAGAGTCAGCAGGGCAGGAAAGGTCYGTGACGTGGCCAGGGATGGCAGGGGGTGAATGTTGGGGGTTTTATGACTCATCCCACAYGTAGGAGAGGCACTGTCAGCGTCATTGATGGAGCTGGGAAGGAGCCTGCTGTGGGAACGACATGGGGTCTCTCCTAATAGGTGCAGGAGGAGGAGGACGGTCACCAGGTGCCACCGAGCTCAAAGAACACATCAGCCGAGTTATCCATATTGTTGGCACTAAGTGAAATAATTCCACGGCAAACTTCAGAATTAGCATTTAAGAATGAGGAATGGGGGCAATTAGAGGGGAAGCAGCGCAGCGCCGGTGCCCCCAGCTCCCACCCTCATGCATCTTCTCACGCTGCTGCGTTCAGGTTCATCGCCCCCGTCTCTGGTGGAGCGCTGGGATCCCTGCAGAGGCTCTCGTCCTCCTGCAGAGGGAGGGGATTGGTGTGGGTATCAGGAGATGAAGCCTTTGAGAGGCCCCATGGATCATTGTGAGCTCTGTGGGGGCTGCAGCTCCAGCAAGGCCCGGCATCCAAAGCTCCCCAGCTGCTCTGGAGGGGAGCAGCAGTRGTTGGAGGCAGCTGGGGGGCTGCAGATGGTGAAAAGTTTCTGCTCAGAGGCAATGAGGGTGTAAGWGGGATGCAGAGATGGGGGAGCTGGTGGGACAGGGTCATGTTGCACTAAGAAGGGATGCGCTGGGGAGCTGGGATGCAGTGTGTGCTGGGGGCTGATGATAYCATTCCCGAGATATTCCCCCTGCCTTGCTGGCAGGCTTTCTCCAGGTGAACCACAGAGCCAGGATGAGTTTATTTTCCTCCCATGTGACAGGTGCTTTATTGTCTTTTGTCCCTTCTGGACTCGTAAGGCAGTTTCTGGAGATGGATACTGCGCCTTCAGGAGACTGTTAATGGGGGTTTGTCTTTGGTTTTAATTAGATCCCTTCAAGGGAAAACCTCCTGGCCTGCTTTATTATCCAGCTTTGTCAGAGCTTGTCTGCTTTATCTAAACACTTTGCAGAAGWCTCTTTACCTGTTTGCTTACTGGAGACATTATCATAATCCTGGTCAATTGGAAAAGGGGAGCAAAGACGGCTCAGCAGACAAGCGAGCGCCGTCAGCTTAGCAGCTAATGGAGATCACTTTCCCAGACAGGTAAAGAAGCTGATGAGGTGCTCCTTGTGCCAGGGTATCCATCAGTATTCTCTTTGTAGTGCCAATTTCCAGGGCACAGGAAAACTGGCAGTGGGAAGATGCAGTCAGCTGAGAAGGYGCCTCCAGGAATGCCATGTGCTCCGTGCCAGCTGATGGATGGGGTTTTTCTGCTGGTGGTGGTTCTGACACGTTCCCAGGAGATGCAGGAGAGCTGGTTTTTGAAGGAGGATGGTTTGTCTGGTCGTCTGTAGCTGCAGGGGACAGTCTGGGCTCTGGTGGAGRGGAGTTACACAAAGCCAAAGAGACTTGGTCCCAAATTAGCTATTGAATGGCAGCAACTGAGGACTGATCCGGAGGGATGGGAAGGAGGAACCTTTGTCTCCTTGCTCCTGACATGGATTTCTTATAGGGGTCTCTGAGCTGCTGCTCCCTGCTCATTTCAAGTGGTTTTGAGGGCAGTGGCAGTCACCAGCACCATGGACAAGGGAGGGTCCTTGCCCTCCCTCGTGTGAGTGTGTCCACCTGGGACATCCCTGGTGCTTGTGCTGGTCCATCTGTGAGATGTAAACGCGAGCAGTAAGTGCAGAATGAGCCACCCCAGCTCTCAGGTGTCCCAGAGCAGCCCCAGATCTCCTCGGGAAGCACATCCCATATGCGCCAGCCGAGGCTGGGCAGCACAGCCGAACGTGCTCAGTGCCGGCACGAGCGTCTCATCCCTGTCACTTCAAACCCGAGTCCTTGTGCTTCACCCCTAATGAGGGGACCCGAGAGTCCCTCGCAGGGCTGTAGTCTGGATATTTATATGAGCGCAGACATGCAAGTTGTCTGTTTTACATATTGCTGCCCTGATTTTTCAGTGCACGCAATGAATAATTTACAGAAGCCGTGTGTAAGTATCTCTTTATTATTCATTATAATGAAGTGAGACAGCAGTAATAGTCCACTAGACTGGAATCCCCCAGGGCCGAACTTAACTCGGCTGTGCTTAGCTCTCCCCCCAGTTAATTTGAAGGAAGAGAGGGCTCGGCTTCCCGACAAGGACGACGCCGTCTGCCGGCACGAGGCTGCCTTGGTCCGGACGATGTCTGACCCCAGGCGAGCTCCCGGTGTTCTGGCAGTGCCACGGTGGGCATGGAGAGCCATCCATCTTTCCTGGCATCTCTACGTGATGCGGCTGGCAGAGACGTASGGCTCCTGCAAGGGGAAAATTACTGGTTTGCGGGAGGAAATATGGCTCGTTCCTCTGAACCGAGCACCCGGGGGGACCCTCAAACATGCTGAGAATTGCCCCTTCCCTCCGCCCGATTAATAATCTCGATYGAGGTGATGCTCTGCRATYTCGGCAGGGGASGCATATAACAGCCYTGGAGYCTGGGCAGGAGAGGCACCACRATGGGGACRAGGACAGGAACAGCSTCCCAGCCCCTCTCTGAATTTACARGCATGTGGAGAGGGACTTGCACGAGTTTCTTGATTGACTGTAGGTGCCTTTTCCTAAGATCTCAGCTGCACTAAGCTGTGGCAGCTCTGCCACCACCGGCACTAGCTCACATCTAGATTTTCCCAGTTTTTTTGCATGCCAAGAGAAAACTTCGCTAGCCTGGTCCTCAGGTGGCAAAGGCAAAGCTCCCAAGAGATGCTGGACTCTTAATTTAGCCAAACACTCAGAGCTTTTGCTGCAGGTACCACGGAGGCAGCAGAGAAGGCCACAAGTAAATAGATGGACAAGAAGCTATCAAACAGAACAAAAAACCCATGTTTTCCAGGAACATTTTAATTCCCTTCCCCCCCCATCCCATTCTTTGCCAAGTGTAACTCAGCGCCGTGGACCGGAGCTGCCGAGCTCCTGCACGTCTCAGAGCGGGGAGGGTGGGAGCCAGGCAGGAAATAAATAATGGAAACGACTGCGCTGTGTTTTCAAGGCACTTGTAGGATTTACAGCTGCTTATCCAAATGTTCCCTTCCCTTCCCCGCGTGCTGGCTTGGCCATCTCCGGCTGTTTCTCTTCTTCCCTTCTCCCCGTGCGTGTGCTGTGGCCCCTGTCCCCGGCAGCGGGGGTGTTTGTCACCCCGGGGATGGCTCGGGGGCMGTGCCGACAAGCCGAGCTGTCAGCACATTTTACAGCTTCATCTGGAATTCTCAGCACACAGTGAGAGCAAGGGGAGCTGTGGAGGTGGGTGAGGGGGGGATAGGGATGTTCTGCCTGGCTTGCAGAGGTCAAACACGACGGGGGTTTTGTCTGTGAGTCCCCAGTTGCGTGTAAAAGAAAAAGGAAGCATTTATATTTGGCGAACCCACAAATCTCATGTGATGGGAAGATGTGCAAAAAGGGAAGCACGACCATGGCATGCAACACCTCTGTGCTGGCAGTGCTGGGGAGCCACTCTCCCTTCCTGCTCCATCCCCTTTTTCCAGCCAGGATGCTCTCTGTGTGCCCTGTCCCAGGTGTGTGACCCTCTGTGTGTCCCCTCAGGTGTACTGTGGATGACCGGGTGACRCGGGTGGCGTGGCTGAACCGCAGCACCATCCTGTATGCCGGCAATGACAAGTGGTCAATAGACAACCGCGTGGTCATCCTGTCCAACACCAAGACCCAGTACAGCATCAAGATACACAACGTGGACGTGTAYGATGAGGGCCCCTACACCTGCTCCGTGCAGACAGACAATCACCCCAAGACTTCACGCGTCCACCTCATCGTGCAAGGTAGGTCTGAGCGTGCCTCGTGCTCTGGCTGGGTGGTTTGATCTGGAAGGATGCCTGGGCTGGGGAAAGGTTTGGAGCCCCTCTTGGTAGTGGGGTTGGAACCATCATCAGTTGCTCCAGGGATTGCATGGCATGGGATCAAGTGCCCACCATTCCAGGGAGGAGATGAACGTGTGTTGTCTCAGCCTCACTGTGTTGTATGGTCACGACACAGGGCAGAAGACACCTGAGAACTGACAATGGGGCTGCTGAGTTATTCCTTATTCYCCCTTTGCCTGTCCCTKCTGTGAATTTGACCCWTCTMCKCTGCTTGGAGCGATGYTGCTCRGCTTGCTCCATCAGGGGCTCGTTARTAAGGKGCTCAGGCAGGAGTTTGAAGATGCTTCAGGAGAGCTAAAAGCGCTGTGCTGCCAGGCACAGAGGAGAAGCAGATCCTAATGGCACAAGGTTTTGAGAGAGAGGTCAAAATCACTGTGGGACCATGAAGGGCTTTTGGCACAAGGCTTCCTAGGCGAGGGTATCAACATAGCAGATGCTGTTGGGTTGCAAAGCAGCATCCTGAGGCTGTTCTGATGGGAGGATCCAGGTACTGGCAGATCAGAGGGGCTGGTAGCACTCTGATGGATGCTGCCTCTAGATTCTTGTGGCTTTGCACCAGCTACTGGCTTTTGTCCGGTCTCTAGATTAATTTTTCAGAGTTAGTGTTAGTTCAGGTTAGATAAAGATAATGAAAGTTTCCTAATCCTCTTAAAGAAGATTTATTTGGCTGAGTAGAAAGCTCTCGGAATACAATAAAGCATGTATAAAACCAGGACCTAATCTTTCCTTTAATTTCAAACAGCTGATGGGTATTGATTTTGCAATGAGCAAATCTGAAAACTTTCTCAGCCTCCACACGTCTCTGAGAAGCCCCCAGCAGGGTTATGTATGTATTTACRTATCCTCCTCATTGGCAGGAGGCAGAAATTGGTTGTGATAACCTGTCCAAGAGGTTTTTCTGCCTGTGGTTGTGGGAAACCCTGGATTGTGTGCACCAGGCTATTGTGGAGGAGGGGAGCACTCACCTGGGGAARAGAGAAACAGAGATCCACTGGAATCATCCCTCCATCCCCTCATTCTCTCCCTCACCCCCTGTCTGAGTTGCGTGYGAGCTGTCCATCTGTGAGTTTAATCTGTTTATCCTGTCTGCTCTCTAATCGTGCTAATCYATCCAGTCAACACCGGTGAAGTATCCGAGCGCGTTGCACCCAATGAAATCGGCTGAACTGGCAGCGATGCTCAGCACCCTCACCCCTTTTCCAGGCTGATGCAGGCCCTTGCCTGGCTTGGGCAGGTGAAGGTGAGGTAGATTTTGTGTCCAGGGTGACTGCCCAGTGGTGAGGCATTCCTAACTGTGCTGGGGAAAGTTTCTGTCCTGGTGTGAGCAAGTCTTGTGGAATTGCTCCCACAACAGCGATGACAGTGGCTCTCAGCGGTGTCTCTTCTCCACAGCTGGAGGGGAGCGTGAGAGGAGCTGGGGGTGCAGGCACAGGTCAAGTGATCCATGCTGAGCAGCGTCTGGACTTCCCTTTCAACGTGTTAAGCTCAGGCCACATGGTTTGCCTAAGCTGGGCTGCTGAGAAAATCCATCTGTAGGTGCCACCTTGCTGAGCCTTTGATTGGTGATGAGAGAGGCAAATCCTCCCGTGCTCTGTTCCTGGTTCAGCCYRAGGAAARGAAGGTTGTAGGGAGATGCAGTAGCAGCCTTCTGGCATCTGAAGGAGCCTACAAGGAATGTAGAGGGACTGTTCATCAGGAACTGTAGKTAAAAGGAGTAATGGGRTCACAYGAAAAGAGRGGAAATTTARGTTTGATGTAAAGAAGAAAYTCTTCCCTGTGAGCGTGGGGAGGCCCTGGCACAGGTTGCCYGGAGAAAATGTRGATGCTTCATCCCTGGAAGTGTCCAAGGTCAGGTTGGATGGAGTTTGGAGCAACCTGGTCTAGTGGAAGGTGTCCCTGYCCATGGCRGGGGGTTGGAATGAGATGATCTTTAAGGTCACTTCTAACCCAAACCATTCTAYTATTCAGCTCCACTGCAGTTCCTTGGTGGCTAAATTGTGTTTTCTATGAGGGTGAATAACACRCAGTCAGTGCTGAGAGGAAAGGAGTGATTTTCCAAAGATGAATTTTGTCCTGGCTGTTACTGCACGCAGAGCACACACTTTACAGGGATGGGAGCAARGCTCTGTTTTTGGCCTCAAAAATGAGATTTAGGTCTGTCCTCTGTTTGTTGCCCTGACTGTGCCAGCAGGATGACAAACAAGCAGTAATGACCAGTTAGCAACTATATTCAGGTCAATTAATTTCTATTTGTATTTTGCAAAACTATGAGTTGGCCGGAGAGAGTATTGATTCCTCGTCCCCGTGTTCAATTGGGTTTTAATTGTGCTACTGCGGGGCCCAGCCTTCCCTCCCAGCAACCCGGCGATAAATCTGCCAGGGAATCGCCGTCAACAGTAAATGTGTCTCTTAGTAGCACTATTAATATGTCTCATGCATTGGTTCATTGCAACAGCCGTTAACAGGGTTTATWAGAGCGTAGATGGCAGCAAGCCAGAGGGGTTTTTTTGTCTCCCTTTTCCTCTTTGTGTCAGGTGCTGCCTCGTGATAAAGGGATGGATGTTTTCAGGGAGATGCGTGGTGCTGGTGGTGTGTTCTGGGGAGAGTTTGGGATGCAGAGAGAGCAGGCGTGGATGCTCATACAAGTAGGAGATGAGCCACCTCATCCTCCTCTTGTCATAAAAGCTTGAGTGGGGCTGAAGTGGGGGATGGCCCTTGGTGAGCCCTCCTGCCTCTGGGATGAACACTAAAGCYCATTTCTCAAAAATGGGGAGAGGGAGAGCTCCTGGGATGTGCAGGCTTGCAAGGAGGAGCCAGGAGACATTAAAGGCAATGTGCTGCAGGTTGGTTTTGGTGTGAGGAGTGCAGGACACAGTTCTGCCYTCATGGCTTGGCCTGCTTCAGGGTGGTGCTTCAGTCTGAAACGTGGAGCTCAGAATCACTGTTTGGGTGAAAGCTGTGAGCTTGGGATCCCACTTGGTGGAGATTTTGGTGGTGAACATTGGTACTGGCCATCCCTACCTAACAGTGGTCTTTGGTATTCCTCAGATGTCCTCTGATGTCCTCAGATTCCAAAACATCCTGCTTCTGATTTGTTTAGAGAATCTTTCTTGGTTCTACCTTAATCCTTCTCACCACAGATTTTCAGTGAATCCTCTCTCAGTTGTTGGCAATGTTGCTGTTGTTTCTGCTTGACACAATCCATTTCCCATCTCAGTGTCTGCTGCTTTCCTCCCCCTGGGGACCAGGACAGGTTTTGAAGGGCCATGACCTTCGTTTCCAGGTTCTGGTTGTGTGGTGTGTTTTCCAAAAGCACCWAAAGATGCTGTCCTGGAGCTGGTCCTGTGTCTCACCTCCTGCCTTTCACTGCAGCACCTGTACAGATGTGGCTTTTCAGTGAGTGTTTCAAAACAAAATCGAGTCTTTTATTTTATTTTATTTTATTTTTCCCTTGTGAGAACAACTGGCTCCTTAAGGCTCTCAAAGCCAAACCACCCCCACTGAGATCTTTTCCTGCAATGGGAAAAGGCTGGATGGAAAAGAGCAACCTATCTCAACCTTCCTTCCTCCCTTAAGAGGCAGAGGGTGGGCAAAAGAGTGAAAAGAGCCAAACAAAGGTGATGCAGGAGCAAGATGTCAGTGAATTCAAAGCCAAAGCAGCCCAGAGAAAATCTGGGTGGAACAGCAAAGATTGAAGAAGGAAGCAACTGGAGGGSAAATAAACAGAAAGGATGAGAAGAAAAGCCCAGAGATGCAAGAACAAAGGGAAGAGAGGAGGAAATGTGYGCACACTGAAAAGCACCAGAGCATCAAAAGGGCAGGAGGCAGCAAAGGGGAGAAATGAAAGARTAATGAAGGAGTGAGGGCATGGAGAAGGGGAAGGTCTGGAAGGARGAAGAGTCAGACTGGCGGGCAGAAATCAGCAGACAGGAACAGCCACTGTCCCTAAAGTGGCTGCCACAACGTGCTAACCCAAAATCCAGATTGGGAACGGAGAAGGGACAGGCTGGGCTGCACCCAGACAGCATCCTTGAGCTCCCAGTCTCAAAGCTGCTTTAAACAGGAGCAAAGGAGCCATTGGGGTGTGCCACAGGGACCAGCAGCATCAGATGATTAATTACTGCAAAGAAACAAAACTGGGGAAGAGGAGGGAGAACTGGCGAAGTTGTTTCCCCATTATATTTCCGAACAGAAAGAACGTTTTAGCGCRCGCACAAATAGCTCCCTGGGAAGCACTCTCACTTCCTAATTGTTCATAAATTTACTGACAGGTGGTTACACAGTAGGTATAACACTGTGAGTTTCGGGTTTATTGCTTTCCCTGTCTCAACGTGAAAACTTGGAGAAAAAGGATGTGCTGCGCGCAGTCGGGCGACTCCGCCTGGCAAAGGGTGTTCGATGTCTGTGTTTCATATTTGCCATGTTCCTTCTCATAAAAGGATCCCACAGAGAGTGTTTTACTGGAGGAAGGCTGTGGAAAGATTGTGTTCAAGACCCAGCAAAGGGAAAGGGAAGATATTCCCAAAATGGAGCATCTGTAGAAATTGTGAGGCTGTGACACGCCACTTGCTTGGCAGGGAAATTTGACAAAAATCATTCTGTTGACCAGACTGTAGCTTTTAGATGTGCTTAATCCATTATCTCAATAAAATCAGCTCTGACGAGCCTCTCAGACTGGGCTGTCACCAGAAGGGTTCGATCAGAGATGATCATCATCGCTGCTGAGGAGCAGTGTGTTGTTAAAACTCTCGATGTCATCTCCTTGCCCCAGTCGCTTCCCCCATGGGAATATTTAGGTGCATTGCACAGGGTTACTCTGTCTGTCCTTTCAGGTGTCTCCTGCACCCTGAAAGCAAAGATGAGATGGAAAGAGGGAAAATATCCATCTGCCAGTCAGGAGCTGGCTCTCAGGTGCCCCATTTCAGGGCATCAGCCCCTAACAGGAGCTATTCTAGGCAAGGTCTCGTACTGCTGTGCCTTCAGCAGACACACAGGGACTGGAGGAGGCCCTGGTGCCATCCCGCTGTGCTTCTCATCAGTGAAAGAGATGGAAAGCACAGGCAAAATGTGAGCTTTCAGCAYATTTGCCTCCTTTGTGCTGACTTTCTGTACGCTAATGAGACCTTGCACAGTGACACCTCTGACAGCCCCATCCTGCCTGTGCTGGGGAGGCTCATGCAGAGCTGGAGGTGCCTGGGGCTATAGGCAGCTGGGGTGCTGGGAAAGGAGGCACTGTCATCTCCTGCAGACATCCGACCCCTGCTAGGGCAGCAGTCCCTCTCCCTGCCCRTCACTGCATCACCTGTCACAGCACACAGCTGGACACTGCAGCTGGAGAGCTGCACGAACGCTGCATCTCCCCAAAACAGGAGGTGAGTGAGGGGGTGGAAAGTGAGGTGCCAGAGCAGGAGCACAACGTGCTGTGGGTGTGGCAGCATCCATGGAGGYGTCAGAGCTCTGAGGATGGGTTGTCCCTCTCTGCTGTCCCCATGGGGACCTGTCCCCTGAGTAGAGGTGGGCAAGTGGCGTTTGCTGGCAGTTTGAAGAGCCCATAGGTATCTAYCTGTCATCTCCCCTTACCGGCAGTGTAGGAAGAGGTCTCTTTTAATGGATTAGGAGCTAATGATGTGGAGGAGGGACATCAGTTGCATGTGTCAGCCACCGTGCTCATGCAGGCTCTCGGCTCCGAGGCTTGCAGCAGTAATGATCTGGCAGCTAAAAATAATCCAGGGCCACGGCGGCGAGCGCCTCCGGTAGGGATCGGCGCTCCGGAGCGGCCGGGATGAGTCAGCCTGCACGCGGTCCTGTGCGTCAGCGTCATGTGCGCTCGCTGATCACGCAGCCATTCCTGAGGTGCTGCTCCGTCCCGCACGGTTTAGCAGGGAAGAGGCATCCCTGACAGCATGACCATCCCTCCTCACGCTTGGGTGGCTCGCCAGGTCTGGGCTTTCCTGTTGCTTTTTGTCCCCACATGGGGGAACAAGTGTAAAGCCATCACTGGTGCGTGGAGATGGTGGGACTGAAGGTGTTTGGGAGAGCCCCACAAATATCCAAATTATTGCACAACGGCAACCCAGGGCATGACAGTGTCACCAAGGGGTGATCCCATGGCCAGCCCCAACAGGGCCCAGTTTGGAAGGAATGGCACCTCACTGTCCCCACAGATGGTGGCAGACACCAGCACATGCTTGGGCCCCACGGAGAGTGTGGATCAGTGCATCAGGCGGTTCAGGCCTCGAGTGGTAAAGGAAGCAGATAAATCACAGGCTTATTGTTATTGAATTTAGTGGCATCGCTTTCACATTCAATTTCTCTCGCCGGCTTTCCGAACAAACAAGAAATTACAGTGCAAATGTATTTTTTGGCTTACCAAACCTTATGCATTAACTTCCCTGTGATTAATATTACGCGGGGTTGACGAAATCCTCCGCGCGCCGCTTGTCGCTCTGGTTGAGACCGCAGCGCTCCTCGCTTCCTCGGGATTTATTCTGTATTCAATTTKCTTGTAGTTGTAGACTTCTGTGAGGAAGGACTATGGATAAAAGGGGATAAAGATGGTGTTCTGCCCTATTTTTCTTCCTGTAGCTGTGTAAGGCTGAAGGTGGGAATATAGAGAACCAAAGGGAAGGGATGCTGCCAGCAGGTAAAGGACTAGGAACAGCATCCACAGTCATWCTGGAGGGCTGCAAGGCATTAGCAGGGCTTCCTGACCCAGGAGGGGACCAAGAGGGATCTATGGGGCATGGGAGAGCCTTTGGGCTCCACATCCAGCACTGATCCCAAGCTGGCATCTCCTTAAGGCAAGGCAGCTCCCRTGGGATGTCCTTGCCTTGGCCATCCTTGTCTCATGGCATTGATAGGGCATGGCTGCAGGTTTGTTTTACCCACACTGTCGTGTTTGTCACCAAACTCACCCTGCCTGCATCCCTACACGGTCCCGGTTTCCACTCACTCCTCCCAGAGGGTTTAGTCCTCCTGTGGCAAAGCCAGTGTGTCCTTCAGATGCCATCCTTGACAGCCCAGTCGGTGGGATCTATGAAAATGTAATCAAGGTCCTTCAATGTCCTTCTCCAAGTCCTGGTAACCTCGTAGGCAACGATCGCAGTCACGGGTATCGAACAGCCCGGTGGGTTCCCCRTGCTGTCCATGGGTGTCCTTCCCCTGCATGTCCCTGTCAGCTCTTGGGGCATTCCTGATTRCATTAGGGCAGGCAGTGACAGCACAGCCGTGCTTCCCTGGCCTCTGGGTGTTTGGGAAATGCAGYTCCCCACTGTGAGACCTGCTGGCATGTCTGTGTCAGCATCCTTTGCTAAGGGAAGGGCTTTCAGGCTGGTGTGTGGTTTTGTGTGTCTTGGGGTTTTCTGAATGGGAGCACTGGGACTGTAGTGATTATGGGCAATGGTAATCTTTTCCACAGGAATGAAAATATTTCTRTGCCCAGGAGAGGGACAGGCTCATATCTGGTCCCAGAGCATCAGTTTCTGCATCTTGATTTGTACTTGTGGTTTGGGACTCAGGGGATGGGAGAGGGATGTCAGCCTTGAGCTGGAGGCGGCTGAGAGGGTGAGGACAGAAGGATGACCATGRTTTTGCTGATGCTCTGCATCACACACCATCACTCTCGTCCAGCTCCACAGCATCTGCARGCAAGAGCACACAAGGAAGAGACAGGGGTCTGGAGCAGGGATTGCATCCCAAGGTCTCAACATCCTCTAACGATGGTGCTGCCATCTCAGACCAAAACTGCTCAYGAGGAGGGCTGGTTTGCAGGCTCATGAGCATGTGAAAAATGCCCAGCTGTGGTAAACCTTGTACTGGACATTCTTGTAGTTTTCAGATGTTCCTGGTACTCATTTGAGGTGCTATTATTGGAGGGGAGAAGTGCAAGGAAGCTGGTAATAGGGATTAGAGTCATCTTGTCTCAGTGAGGAAGGGCCATTTGCTGACTTCCCAGAGCTCATCGTGGCTGAGCTGTTGGAGTTGGCCGGCTCTGCTCYGAGCTTAACTACATTTTCCAGCAGTTGCCGGCACACACTTTTCATTTTTGGATTGCTGCTTTCCCCTGAAGGACTCAGACAATCTCCCTCTGCTATAACAGACTGTACTTCTATATTAATGTGTCAAGTTGCTGGGAAATTTACTGCTTTGCAGAGCCTGTTGGGCTGCAGATCCCGCGCCGTGTCTTTGCCGTGGCTCATCCTCCTTTCCCATGCCAGGAGGGAGGAAAACCTCCCTGGGATTGTGAGGAGACCCTTCCCTGGGGGTGCAAGGAGAGCCAGACAGCCCCACTTCCCCTTGAAGGCAGYGCTGGTGTYGGCCACAGTRGTTTTCAGGTGATTGCCATGGAATYCCAGAGCTCTGGGAGAGCTCTGGGTGCAAGAGTTGGGCATTTGATGCCACCTGAGCTGGGGCTCTCATCAGGTTTTGTGCTTGAGGAGGGGGCACAGGGCATCCTTTCCGGCACTGTAGGTGTGGTGTTTCATTTGGGGAGGGTTGTTTTGTATGGCCTCACTTGCTCCCTGGGGTGCAGACCCTTCAGGGGGTTGTGTCCGACAGCCCAGAGCACCAGGAAGCGGCACCAGCAAGCGAGCTTTAATTGCTTTTTGCCATGGCCGGGGATATTTATGGGCACGGAGATTGCCAAGTTATTTATTAGATGGAGTATCTGGGGATAGAGTAATATAAATCACCCTGGCCAGTATTGAAGGAGCAGACGCTCAGTAATTTAAACAGCTTTAATAAATATGCTAAAATATGAGCCTTGTCGCAGGCCATAGCGAGAGCTGGTTATCGGGGTCTTGGCCATGGAGCAGTGGGGCTGGCGCAGGGAGTGGACCCCTCCTCAGCCTGGATTCATGCTGGGCTCCAGTCCAAGAGTTTGGATCCTGTTTGGAGACGTGGAATTGGTGGCTGGACAGGGCAATGGAGTGGATACCAGCATCACTGGTGGGACAGGTCTTGTGGCTGGGGCCTCCCAGCAGGGCCTGGCGAGCTGGTGTGTTGATGGTGTCTTTGGTGGCCTTTGTGTCTTGCAGTGCCCCCCCAGATCGTCAACATCTCGTCAGACATCACGGTGAACGAGGGCAGCAGYGTGACCCTCATGTGCCTGGCCTTTGGGAGACCAGAGCCCACCGTCACGTGGCGGCACCTCTCCGGGAAAGGTGAGATCCTGCTGGGTGGACGGGCCTCCTGGGTACGAGGAGGGGCCTTCCTGGCCTGGATGGGATRGATGGATGGCCCCGTGGAGGCGGTTGGGGTGACATTAAGGTGGTTCACAGTCAGAGTTGCTGATCTTTTGATGTGCCCTGGGATGGRGGTGAGGATGGTTGTGAAGTGCCGTCTCAAAATTCCTCAGCAAAGGGGGTGTCAGGGCAGGGGCACAGGGGAGTTCCTGCTGTCACCGTCCCTGGGTGACAGTGCCACACGTTCGGTACATCCCCCAGGGCAGGGCTTTGTGAGTGAGGACGAGTACCTGGAGATCACAGGCATCACACGGGACCAGTCCGGCGAGTACGAGTGCAGCGCCGTCAACGACGTGGCCGTCCCGGACGTGCGGAAAGTCAAAGTCACCGTCAACTGTGAGTGCGGGGGACRGGGCAGTCGCRGTGGGGTGGGTGCATGTGGCCCAGYGTGACAYGGTGCKRTGTCCCCACAGAYCCRCCCTACATCTCCAACGCCAAGAACACGGGCGCCTCGGTGGGCCAGAAGGGCATCCTGCAGTGCGAGGCCTCGGCCGTCCCCGTGGCGGAGTTCCAGTGGTTCAAGGAGGACACCAGGTGAGGGGCAGCCACAGCCTTGGGGTGACAGGATGAGGAGGAASAGGGGGTGACACTGCCCAAGGGTGTCATGTGGAGGAAGACTGGGATTAACTCATTTTGGTGGGTGCTCAGCTAAAGGYTGAGGGGATCCTGGAGTTGTTTTTCCCAGGGATGGTGGCTGTGGGACACCTGGGCCAGGCTGGGTTGTGGGATGAAGAGCGGGATGACGAGTTTGCCTTGGTGGGATGCACAAGTGGGTGTACAGCAGTGTTGGTGGGGAGCCAAGGGGTGCTCAGGGAGGGTCAAGACACACCCCAGAGCCCCCTCCCCATTCTCCCAGCACCGCTGTCGGCATTTCCCCACAGGTTAGCAAACGGGCTGGAGGGCGTGCGGATCGAGAGCAAGGGCCGCCTGTCCACGCTGACCTTCTTCAACGTCTCGGAGAAGGACTACGGCAACTACACGTGCGTGGCCACGAACAAGCTGGGCAACACCAACGCCAGCATCATCCTCTATGGTAGGTGCCAGTTTCATTGCAGTGAGGTGAGGTGACAAGGAGGAATAAGAGAAGGAGGGTGAAGAGGAGGCATTTGGAGAGGAGGAGGATGAAGAAGAGGAGGGGGAAGATGAAGACGAGTTTGAAGAGGACACTGAAGAGGAGGAGGAGGAGGAGGAGGATGAAGAGGAGGAGGCTGGCAGATGGCCAGTGGTGGAGTGATGGAGCAGAGCTGGCTGTATTTGGTGTTCCTGGTCCATCGAGGTGCCAGACAGCACAAACCCCAAGCACTGAGGTTCTGCCAGAAGACGCTCAGAGGATGAGATCTGTACAAGCCTGACACGAGATACACTAGAGTTGGMCAACAGCTGGCTGAGCTCTGGTGTTGCTGGAGCACCGTGGTGAGGAAGGAGCCTGGGACAGGTGAGAGCGCGCTCCGGGTGCACGGTGTGGGGGTTTTCCTGTGTTTCCTACTGTCAGGACTGCCAGCAGTGATCACATTGCGCTGGCAGTGGCAGGATGGGTGACATCAGCGTGGGTGGTTTAGGCAGGAAGGGGTTTGATGGTGTCATCAAGGACAGCTGTCATTGAGGAAGGTGATGTGTACCTGTGGCATGTCCCTTTGGCATTCTGACAAGCTGAGAGGGCTGTCATGATCCAAGGGTGGACAGCAGGAGCCAACAGGGCTCCAGCAGGAGGGAGAGGATGGAAGTCAGGCAGCAGGCTCAAGGTGACCTTGARAGGGAGAAGGGTTTCCACACCAGCTTGGATTTGGCAGCATCAGGGTGGACAGTGGGTTCATGGGAGTGCCTGGTGATTTGGGGTGGTGRGAGTGGCACATCTTTGATCCTCTTGCGTGTTTTTGGCTCCACTCTGTTCTGTAGGGTCGTGCTCGGGTCTGGTGAGTGCCAGTCCGAGGTGTTTGGGTAGGGGCTTGTCCAGGCCTTTCTATCCTAACCAGTTCTTCTCTCCTGGCCTGATTTCTTCTCTTTGGGTCAAGGCTCTGGGTTCTGTTCCCTCTTCACTGTTCTGGTCTGTTCTCTCGTGTTTTACCTTTTTGGTGAAGAAATTTGTCCCAAGATCCAGTATAATGCAGCATAGTATAATAGATTATAATAACATAATGTAATACAAATGTTATATAGTATAGATTATTAATAATGATATACCAACAATACAAATGTGTTATATAGATATTACAGTGTATATTATTCATATRTTTAATAATAGTGTCTTGTTAACATAATTATATATGTGTGTTATTATTTATATTATRTATTATAGTATATAAATTATARTATATGTAKTGTRCATTATTAGTTTTTATGTAGTACAATRTATAACTTATAATGTATATTAGATTTTATATAGGCATGGTTTAATGGTTTAGGGGTTWCAGTGGTAGTGCTGAGTTGATGGTTGGATTTGRTGATCTTAAAGATCTCTTCTAACCTTGATGAATCTATGACTCTATAGAGCAAATATTACATTTATGATTTTTAATACATAGATAAGTACATTAAGTTTCCAATCCAGTTTTCCCAATATCCATTTTYTTCCCTTTCCCTGCCCCTGGCACTCTTACATTTGCTCTTTCTCTGATGTGAGACAAAATAACATCACCCAAGTCTTTCTCTTTTTCCATGACTTCAGACTATAGAAAAAGTTTCAGTGCAGGTAAGTCCTTGTATTCAGAAGGGTCCTGGATTAGGGATTTTTGGTTTTKTTCCATGCTATGGACAAGTACAGCTATCTTGTGGTTATCTTTTATTTGACATCATCTGGTTTGAGGCATTTTKCCTTCTCTCAGCAGTTCATGTTGCTCTTTACACACCCCTCCTGTGACAGCACAGAAATTGTCTCACACCAGTTATTAATTGATGCCAACATGCAGGGAAAACAAAATTTCACCTTGTTTTAATAAATTAATCTCCGAAACAAGTCCAGCAGGTTGAAGTACATTAAGAGGTGATTCCATAGCTGGCAAACTAGGGATATTAAAAATCTAACATCCATAAAAAGTGAGAGGTAGGAGCCCAACCCTGTGTCTGAGTTTAACCAACTCCTGCTCCTTTATAGTTAGTAATGATATATTCATTAGAACATTAATATTCCTCTAATCTTTGTTTTATATGAGAAAGATTGGGAAAATATTTACTAGTGAGACAGCAAAAAAAAAGACTAAGAAGGAAGAGTTAAAATGTTCTGTTTGTTTTCATGTGGTTATTTACCTACACTGACACTGAAGCTTAAATTTGTCTTTGAAAGGATATTGGCACATCCTTTGGATATTGCTGTGTGAGCACTCAGAATACCTAAAGCTATTTTAATTTCATAACTTTTAATGGAGAAAAAGGCAAACATTCATATTCTGCTTTCCTCCCAATCTTTCAAGTGTGTATTGAGTGCAACACACTGGAGCAATGAGGAGCGGGCCATGGAGCRGGCTCAGAAAGGAATTGAAGCAGGTGGGATTCCATCCCTCCTCAAGGATTGCGCTTTTTTCATTTCGTGAACATGTTGTGAAATTCAACAACTTGTCAGTCAAACTGCAGCTTCTTGGAAAYGCAGGGGAGAGTGGAAAAGATGGGCTCTGTGGAGAGCTTCTATTTGGGTATGTGCGTGGTGTTTCTTGGACAGTCTCTACGAGCCTTTGCCAAAGGGGAGAGGAGCACAAGTGGTGAGAAATCTGCTAATTTTTTTTTTTGTTTAAAAATTTCATGTCTGGGTTCACTTTTGGATGAGCACGTTGCATTTTGTACTTGCTACTTATAGATAGGGGAGGAAAAATTCACCCAAACCTGAATCTTTACATCTCTTTGAAGGGCAGCATGTCCCTCGATCACCGAGGGAAATTCCCACAGGTCCCCATTCCAAAATGGGAGCTCTGGGACCTTTTATTGGCCCTTTCCAYTGAAGATCCATTGGAATAAAGAGAGCTATAGATATCTTATAAAAGATGCCATCTGCATTTTTCCGATATTCAGGGTCTCGTTTCTGGTATGTAATCTCCTTGATTGATGATTGGATGAGTTAACTGAATATAAGTTAAAATACCAAGTGTTAGATGTGATTTAAACCAATTATTCTATGGAGTGATAAAATCTTTTCATGCTTTATTGTGCACTCTCTTAAGAATCAGCAGCTTCAGACTAAATACATAAAAGCAAGGGAAAGCAATTATGTCTTTAAGAATAAGAGCTCTGATTCAATATTTAAAGACTGCTTGACTTAAAACACTTAAAACACAAGTTGTAGAGTCACGGAATGGTTTGGGTTGGAAAGGACCTTAAAGCWCATCCAGTGCCAATCTCTGCCATGGGCAGGGACACCTTCCTCTATCCCAGGTGGCTTCAAGGCCTCACTGCAAATTATTTCAGTTTTGAAGAAAAAAAATCAATGCAAAATATATTTTTAAAAAAAAAAGGTAAGAAATAGTATGCCCTGATTACCCATTGCTGTGCCATGTCTGTGATTTCAGTGATTTTCTGTGTTTATTTATTCACACAAACCAGTAATCTGGCAAACCTAGGAGATATTAGGAGTGAAAATTAGTAAGGAGAGGAGAAGGAGGCAGTGCTGTGTTCAGGGAATATAAATCTGAACCAGGTCTTTTGTACAGGAGAGAGAGTAATTACCCCACATCTATTTCTGAGCATAACAGGAACTTCGAAGGGCAGGTGAATCTGTCCAAATGCTCTTTTGTGTCTGCCACTAGCACTGCTTTTGGGGTCAAGGGAGCAGCTCACACCTCATTTCATCATTCTGCAAGTTGCCACCTGCCATTATTAATACCCCCCAAAAAATCTGAGATATATAAGCTCCAAAGCTGCTGCCAAGGAGTCAGGGGAATCGCAATCCCCAGGATTATTTTGCTTCAGGAATCTGCTGGGTGACTGCTCAGGGGTCAGTGGTCACTTATTGCCATGCCATGGTGCCACAGCCAGCCTGGCTGGAAGCGTGGAGGGGACAGAACATGGTTGGGTGGGCAATTGCAAAGGCTCCCATTCTTGGTGGTCAACAATAAWWTWWWTYTTTTTTCCTGTTAATTGAGTGGATTACGCTGTGTGGGTGTTCTGGGTGGGGGCAGCRCAGATTCTGTCATGCTGGGGGACAGCTGTGCTGGTGCTCGGGGGCTCGTGGCTCCTGGGCTGGGCCTTTCCTCTCTTCAGCATCTTCTGCCCCCAAAAAACTTCAGGAAATGGCAACTCTGCTCTGGAGCCAGGCTGGGAGRGCTRGGAGTGCTCACCTGRAGGAGAGAATGCTCTGGGGAGACCTTAGAACCCCTTCCAGAGCTAAAGGGAGCACTTGGAGGGTACTTGAGGTCACTGGGGGATTACTTGAGGTCAACCAGTTGATATTTGGGGTTGCTATAGGTCATTGGGGTTACAAGAAATCAAACTCAGTCTCTCCAAGGAACTCTGAGATTACTTTAGGTCATTTTGGGGGTTATTAGAGGTCATTTTGGGGTTACTAGAGGTCATCAATTAAAATTTGGGGTTGCTATAGGTCATTGGGGTTACTATAGGTTGTTGGGTTATATGACATCAAACTTGCTCTCACTGTAAAATGTTGAGGTTACTTGAGGTCACTTTTGGGGTTACTTCAGGTCATTTTGGGATTTACTAGAGGTCATTTGGGTTACTAGATGTCATTGGGATTACTAGAGGTCAATAGGTTACTTGAGGTCAAACTCACTCTCACCATAAAATGTTAAGGTTACTTTAGGTCAGTTTTGGGGTCRTTAGAGGTCATTTTAGGGTTACTAGAGGACATTTTGGGGTTACTAGAGGTCGATTTGGGGTTACTATAGGTCATTAGGGTTACTATAGGTCATTGGGTTACTTGAGGTCAAATGTGTTCTTAACAGAAAACTTTGGGGTTACTTTAGGTCACTGATGAGGTCATTAGAGGTCATTTGGGGGTYACTAGRGGTCATTTTGGGGTTACTATAGGTCATATGGGYTACTGTAGGTCATTGGGTTACYTGAGGTCAAATTCAYTCTTTCCATGAAATYTGAGGTTACTTTAGGTCATTTCTGGGGTTACTTTAGGTAATTTTTGGGATTACTAGAGGTCATCAATTAAAATTTGGGATTACTATAGCTCATTTGGGTTATTATATGTCATTGGGTTAGTTGAGGTCAAACACTCCATAAAACTTTGGGTTTGCTTTAGGTCATTTTTGGGGTCACTTTGATGTCATTTTGGGGTTACTTGAGGCCAACCAGTTGATATTTGGGATTACTAGAGGTCATTTGGTTTACTCATGGTCAAACTCAGTCTCTACAGAGCAATTTGGACTTAATTTAGGTCATTGGGGTTACTTGAGGTTAACATGGGGTCACGTTCCATCTCTGGGGACGATCCTGGGCTTTGTTGAGTTCTACCATTTTCATGTTCCATGTTTGAGGTCACCATCTCCAACAGTGACAGCAGAGCTTGAACCTGAGCATCTGTCCCTGTCACGACTCCTTCTGTTGCGTTTCACACCAGGAACCCCCCGTGTGCCATTGCTGTGTCACGCCTGCCTGTCACGGTGGCACCACGACTCTCATGTCAGTCCCACCCTCTCCCCTGCTTGCCTGGTGACTCTGAGTTCCTTTGTCACTGTGAGATGCTTGTGACAGGCTCCCTGGCCCTCGGCTGTGCCCCCAACTCCATTCTTCCCATGTTCTGTGTGTGCATCAGCTTGGCTTGTCTTCATACAATCCAATTTTATTGGAAGAAGATGTCAATCCCGAGCATTTGGAGCAGAGCAAAGCTCTCCAGATCCCTTCTGGCTGCTACCCCTGATTCCCTGTGTCCCTCTGGCCAAACTGACCTTTATCTTCTGCAGTGCAGATTTGGTGAGATGTTTCAAAGACACCAACACAATTTTGAAACCTTAAACCAGACTTTATTGGACTGACAATCCTTAAYGGCACACATCAGCCAGGGTTAAGCTTTAATCATCAACACACAGCTAAATAATTAGTCATTATTAAATTTGGCCTAAATTGGCCATGAGTGTCAAAGGGGAGCATTGGTGGAGGAGGGCAGAGGTTGTGCTGTGGGGCTGTGGTTTGGGCAGCTCTGGAGGTGAGGGGGAAGAGTTTCCTTCATGTCCTGGTGAAGGAAGCCACAGCTGAAGTGGGAGATCTTCCTTTTCTCTTCTTCTTCTTCCTGTGAAGGGATGAGGGATGACTCACTCTTCTTCACTGAGATGTTTTGTTTTGTGGGGTTTTTCCCTGCCTATTCTCTGTTACCYTGTGGGGTTACTTTGCCTTCACCTTTTATCTTCTCTACCTGCTATACTGTGATTTTTTTTTTTCCTCTTTCACCCTTTTATTTCCACTTGGTCCTTGTATTTCACACGTGCAGTTGTCTCCTTGTGTTTGGTACTTACTCTGTGTTTTCTCTTAATTATTTCATGAAATGCCAATTGCCGACTTTGCTATGAGATGGTGTAAATAATACATATATTATACCATGCTATAAATGAATACCTACACTCACTGCTCACATTCCCACGTGTTCCTGGGCCTGGGTGTGTGGCAACTTCTGTCTCCTTTTTGTGTGTAAGAAGCCACCACTTTGTCTTCCTTGCTCTGCAYTGAGGAGAACATCCCTTTGGAATCTGCTTAGAATCATAATTTGAGTTGGGAGGGACCTTTTTAAGGTCATTTATTCCAACCCACCTGCAATGAGCAGGGACAGTCCTTGAAGGACCATATGTTTACCTGAGGGAAAATATCAGGAAAAATCTCATCCTGGGGAGGTTGCCAAGACTTACTCTAGATGCTTCTTCTCTCAGACATGAGTCACTGGACAGGCTTCCCTCAGCAGGTGCCCAAGACTTCCTTCAGTTATTCATGTCCTCAGACATGAAGAATTGGACAGATTTTCCCCCATTAGCTGATGGTGTGGACTGTGAGAATTGGAGAGCAGACWTTGTCTTTTCCTGTGACCTCCGTGAGCGTGGGTGCATTCCTTCCCATTTGTCCTYAGTCCTGAAAATAAAAAGCAGTGAGAGACACATTCTAAATTCCTCATTCCATGTGTCTGTATCTCACCTGCAGAAGGGTAAATGTTGCAACAGATTGGAACAAATGAAGTGGAAGGCACGGGACTTCTGTCCTAGACAGAAAGAAGGTAGGAAAAGAAAGAAAAAGATTTTTTTTTTTGGTGCATGTGAAGGGACTGCTTAGCTCTGTAAATATTTGTGCCATTCCCATGGCTCACACTGGAGTTGAGAGCATCTCCAACACAGGCCAGGAAAACCCATTCACCACAGACCCACTGATTCCTTCCAACCTTTTATTCAAGGTCTTATAAGAGAGACAAAATCCCAGCCTTGCCATCCTTACTCAAGTCAAGGTCTCAAAATCTAAGGTTGCCTGATGGAGAAGGAAGGAAATAGCCAGGAAAGAGGACAAAAAATAAGAAGAAAATGAAAAGCAAGCAATAATAAACAACTGCAACAATAAATAAGCTGAGCAGGGGCAGCCAAAGTCCAGGTGCACTCACACCTCAATGCCCAGGMAAAGGGTTTTGAGCACAGCAGAGCCAAATTATTTGCTGGGATGACAGGGCTAGGGAGCCTCAGCTGAGTTCTCTCCTGTCCTGGAGGGACCTGTTCCCTTCCCACAGAGAGTGACAGTTCAGAGAGCACGCAGGAGGCACAGGCAGCCTGTGCTGAAATGAGCCCTCTGCCCTGATTTCGTGATCATACCTAAATACTACCTTATTTTGTCCCTTTATCTTTATGTTTTTCTCTTCTGTAGAGTATCTTTACAATCTTTACAAGGCCAAGCTGTCTGATACCAGGAAATATTCTTCCGCAGAAAAGAATAAAGAATAAATTTAAGAGAAAGTACTTGTTTCATTTTTTTTCCTAGTAATGACCCAGCATTTTTAGTTTTATTTCCTCTCTGTATTAGGTGACTTATCTATTTGGGAACTCTCCAACTCAGCCACAATGCAATTGCTTCAGGATAGATTATGAAATTTCTGAAAAGTGTCATTAAATCAAAGCCAATAAGCAGTGCAGAACTGTGAACTAGAAAATAGAGATAAGAATTAGTCACACATTAAAATCCACATCTATAGAGGTACTAGAGAAAGGCACCAATTTAGCAGTGTTTGGGCAGGTGTAAATACATAAAAGGTTAAAGCTAATCAGCATTTAGCATTACATCTGCARAAATTTTCACTATTTTTGTAGTTTTGGATGATGTGCTGAGCAGCTGCCATTGGTTTGAGGGGTGAAAACCAAAGAAGAGGGAGCAGTAACAGATCTGAGGGAAAACCAAGCTCAAAATCYCTTTCCATTCTACCTGCAAAGGCTCCACCTGCCCCTAACAAATGTCTGTGGGTTTYCACCTTTCATGTCACAAAGTCTATTCAGCAAGGAAATGTCTGATTATGGCATAGCAGTTCTACCCCTCTTGGGTGATCATGTGCTCTTACAATCAATTTCGTTTGAGCATGGGCATGACACAGCTTCTTGCTCATCACTCAATCTTCCCATCATTTCTTTCACCTCCTGGCAGTGCTTGGATTTAACATCTCACGCTCTCCTTTGCCTCTTCCTGAATTAAGATAAATGTTCACAAAAAAAGATCAGTAGATAAAAAAAAAAGACAAGGAATAACACCGTCCTGAGGAAATGAATGTAACTGGATATGATTTCATGGAATTAGAATTATTTTGGTTGGAAGGGGCCACAAGGAGAGCTGGGGGAGCACTTTTGATAAGGGCATGAACAAGGGGGAATGGATTTAAACTGAAAGAGGAAGGGTTCAGATTAGATATTGGAAAACAGATTCTTCACTTAAAGAGTATGAGGCCCTGGCACAGGTTACCCAGAGAAGCTGTGGCCACCCCATCCCTGGAAGTGACCAAGGCCAAGTTGGATGGGGCTTGAAGCAATCTGGGACGGTGGAAGGTGTCCCTGCTGAGGGCAGGGGGTGGAATGAGATGATCTTTAAGGTCCCTTCCAACCCAAACCATTCTGGGATTCTGTGATGAACCCATTCCAGGTGACTGACTGCAGGCTTGAGAGTGTATTCACAATTAATCCCATTAAACCTTACTTTTCGTCCATCTCCTGAGTTTTGATGCTAACACAGCTGAACACTCATTTCTCTGTTTCTYCCCTTTCAGAATGCCAGTACTGGGACTCAGACCTGCAGCTGCTCTCCATGGCCATAGGGAGTGTGGGCAGAAATATGAGCAGCCAGTGGCAGAGCAGGCGGTGGCTGCCTCTGCTTCCCTCACCCTGCCCATCCTGACTGTCCCCCTGTGTGCCCTGCAGCCCAAATAACTGCCCTAACACAAAAAAAAAAGCAACAAATCTCTCCAGCCATGTACCCAGCCTCCTCCCTGCCTGGCCTGCCTGCCAAGAACCCCCCAGTGACTCCAAAACGTGCCTGCATACCTGATACTCCACATCTGGACAATGCCATTTCCTGAGCCGCCAATCCTTCGTCACCAGTCATGAGCTGTGTCACTCTGGAGCACCAAGGTCCGGTCCCAGTGGCTCTGACGGGGTTGTTTGCATCAGGACTCTCCAAGGAGGACAACTTCTAAGCGTGGTGGGGCTGGACTGAGCAGAGCATCCTCCCCAGAGCATCCTCCTCCTCAGACAAGGACTGTGCCTCCCCTCAGTGCTTCTCAAGCTCCTTGGCTACTTCCTCACCTCCTCCTCAACACTGACAGTGTTCTCCAAATGATGGACAAACCCACCACCCCTCCAAGGGGGAACACAGCACCCCGCTCAGCTGAGGGGTGGAAGGGGAACTGTAGGGAMAAGGGGGAGGTGGGTTCATCACATCATCCCAGCCCTGGCCCTAACGCTGTCCTTTGTCTTTCTCTTCTCTTCTCTCCCCCGAACAGGGCCCGGCGCGGTGCACGACGGCGTCAACGCGGCGTCCCGGGTGGCTGCCGGCTTCTGCCTCTGGGCCACCCTCCTCGCTCGCCTCCTCCTCGACTTTTGATAAGGGAGCGGAGGGTCCCGGGAGGCCTCGCCGCACCTCTCCCCCGCCGCGGGCTCGGCCGCCGCGCCGCCCGGGGACTCCTCTCCGTCGGACGGGCGATGCACCGGAGGACGGGCGGCGGTGCCGAGCGTCCGAGGATGGCCCCGTCTCCCACGTGCCGGGATCGTTCTCGCCGCCGGTTACGCTGTACAGACCCCACCACGTGCCACCAGACTGTCACCCGCCACCATCGCCCCGGGGATGTGGCCCGGCACGGACGGTGCTCCCCGTGGCTGCCTCATCTCCAGYGCCGGGGGCACGGAGCCGTCGGGGCGGGTGCCGCCCAGAGCCTTCACCGGGATGTCCGTCTCGTYGTCTCACTAAGCCGCCTATGCCCAAAAAGACCCCAAGGTTGAAGCCTCCTGGCTCTGCCTTCAGCCCTCTTGGTCCTGAATGTCAGTTCTCGTCGCCAAAGCTCCTCCCTAAGCACCCCGATGTCACCAGTCCCCCATCACCTGCCTCTGCTCCCGACAGGACGCTCGCCGGCCCTTTCACCGAGGGTCACTCGACACAACCACTTGTCCTTCAAGGGTCACGCACTTCCCACTACTCTTTATTCCAGCTGACATCGTACCCCTGCGCTTASCCCCTCACCTTCTGGAGGACACGAGGCTGCTGTCCCAGGAATGCGAGCCCTGGGGACTGCCACCAGCCCTCGAAGGGACTGGAGCCTTCTTGCTGCATCGGACAGCCAGGCCCTCACTCCTTGCTCTGGATCCCTGCCCACTCTGCTGCTGTCCCCCTGATGGCAGGAGCTGCCCCGTGGCTCTCACTTGATGCTCTGCCAGCACTTTTTGGGAGAGTTTTCTCTGGGCTTGTTTTCCAAAACCTCTCCAACCTGCACATCAAAAGCACAGCATCACCAGCACGGGGCAGAGGCTCTGAATGACCGAGCRAAACACCAGCTGACAAGGCGCTTTYRCTACGGCTCTGATGCTCATGACCGGCTGTGTCTCTGCCCCTCTGAGGGCCCTGAGCTGCAGTGTCCTCAYTCTGCCTTGTCTCATGCCCATCACGTGCCCCTGCCTGAGGAAAACTCTGATGTGTCTGACCCTGTGGAGGAGGCCTGGGCTCTGCCTMTTTGCTGTGCTGGCACAGCAGGGACGAGGATGGCTCCAAAGCTCCCTGCTGTGACACCAAAACAGACGCACCCAGATTCTGCCCTCTGCTTCTTCCAGCCTCCCTGGGAGCTGCCACCCACAGTAGCGATGGCTGTGTCATCTCCCTGCATTTGGAATTGTGTCCCTGATGGTATCCTGCACCAAGGACCCCCTTGCCTGGTACATTGTGGCAGCCCTGAGCCTTCTTGGCATCCCTCCACGGCCACTTGGGAAAGCTTTGGGGCCACAGTCTGGGTTTGGACACACTGATGCTGCTCCTGAAAAGTCACACAGGGCACCAGAGCCACGACAGGGAGACTCGACCACAGCAAGGCACTGAGCAAGCACACAGAGCGTCCCCTGTCCTGACCTGACACCTCCCCGTGCCTTGTCCCTTCCTTCTCCCTCCGTGAGATGATTTAAGAACAAGGGCCACGCACATGCTGTCTTCCCCTCGCAAACTGCTGCTGCCCAAACCTGCTTTCTGTGTCTGCAAGGAAGCTGGGGTGCCAGCCCTCACTCAGCACACAAGATGGAAAAAAACCACCCCGAGCCAGAGGCCATGATGGGCCACCACCCTGTCCTCTATGCAGCCGTGCCCGTCCTCATCCCTGCTCTCAATGGGCTGCCCAGGACCTGCTACAAAATCTCAATGGATGTTCCTGCCCCCCATTCTGGATGTTCAACATGTACCGTGGCTGATTAAATCACGCTGAGCCCCAGGCGGGGCTGCCCCAGGGCTGGCCTGAGGCGCTGGCTTACCTGGTGGACGGGGATCCGGCACTGACTGGGTGAGTCCGCGTCCTGCGGTCCCTGCGGTGCTGCTCTGCTTCTCCACTGGCACCCCAGAAAGGTGGCACTGTCAGCGATCTGGGTCCTGTCCCGCCGTGTTTATTGAGTGGGGATGGCACTGTCTTCAGCCAGCACGGCAACACGCACATCCTTCCCCACACGCCAGCTCCGAAAGTACCGTGGGTGCAGGAAACACCTCGTCCTGCTGCCTTCACTGGTCCGCACTGCCCCACAGCAGCCCCCCGCTGCCACCCCACGCCCTTCCCTTGGCCAGCCCCAAATTTCTCTGTCCCCACAGCAGAAATGCTGCAGAATCACAGGGCCAGAGGCCGTGGCATATCAGAGTGGCGGCGACGAGACGCCACGACGCACACTGAGGCTGGCGGACCTGGCGCCAGGGCTGCCCCCATCCCATGCTCCTCCCTGGGTCGGGTGGGCTCCCCTGTCCTCTGCTGGGACGGTATTCGACTTTCTCGTGCCATGTAACGTGCCATTGTGAGGAACGTGTTGGCTGTCCGAGGCCGGCCCCGCCGCGGCTCTGCCGGGTGGCAGACCCCTTAGTGACCACTGCTCTCCACGTTTGGATGCCCAGGGGGGTGGCCRGGCACCCAGGGCGGGGGCAGTGTGGCTCTGGGGTCTCTCCTGCTGATGGCTGTGATGGCCGGTCTTGAGTTTCTGTCGATCATTGTATTCCAAGGGTGGCTATACTACCTGAGATTTGTGCATGTTACATTGTAGTTGTAACCTTTTCTAATTCGGCAAGAATAAGAGATGGTTGTGATTGTGCAGTGTATCAATAAAGTTTGACGAACTTTGTACCTTCGGGGCTTTGCTTCACGGGCCCCGCGCACCCCAGGGAAGGGATGCAGTGCTGAGCACCGGCTGAGGTGAGCTGAGCTGGGAGGGCTCCCGAGTGCCTGGCGCCTCTACCACTCCTGTGGTCTCACCCAGCACTTGGTTGGACCCTCTTTTGATCATCCCCTGCGATGGTGATGCTTCAAGCCCCCCAGCTGGGGTCCTGCTGCTGTTTGGGCCATCCCTCACCCCATCCATGCATCTCCCCTGGGAACCCACCAGTGAGTCCCGGGCTCTGTTCACCGCTGTGCGCTGATGAGCCGTGAGCACGTACCCATTGATGGAGTCCCTGCAGGGTAAGGACTGTCTGTGCTCTCATCACTCACCTAATTTCAGTGGACACAGTGTGAATGRGGGCCTCTTCTCCATGACTGAGCCRTTCCCAGCATCTTCTCCATCGTCTTGCAGCCACGTTCAYTCTGACACCTAAACCTACCCCCATGAAGGGATGCCTCTGCAGACAAAGTGCTCCCAAGGTTTGCCTCCTACTGCCATCTGGCAGCGTGTGACACAGAGCAAATGTCTTCATCAAGGGACAAACAACTCAAGGACCAGGAGCAAAAGAGCCTTGGCATCTCCCTGACATGGCTGTAATCTCACAGCAGGCTGTGCCCTCTGCTCCCAGGGGATGCCTCGCCTTTCCACACCATCAACCAGGAGAAAACATTCAACAAGCTCCTTTCATGTGAGACCTGCTGCCAGRAGACTGGGGCCAGTGGGACTGTGCCAGACCCATCAGAGTCTTGCTCACTTTGAGACCTCCCTTCATCTTCCCTGACATGGGAAGGAAAAGCACAGCCCCAAGAGTTTTTCCCTGAAATCCTCAACAAGCAAACAGCTCCATCCCAGCACTGCTATGAGCTGCTGTGACCTCGCACAAGAGGGACACCTCTGCTGTCCCCCTCGAGWGACCCCAGCAAAAAGGTAAGTGCTTCCCAAAGCACAACAACCTCCTGAGGGAAGGGAGCTGGGAGGGATGTGTCACCTTGCCTGCCTTCCTCAATGTCACCTGTAGTGAATCCAGCACAGGTGACCAGCATGGGAGACTCTCTGCTCTGAGCCTCTTTCAAAACCCCCAAGCTATCAGGGAGCCAGGGCTGATTTAATGTAACTACAGSTGCCACACAGCAACGCTCACCCCTTGCATGTGGCCCCTGGGGATCCCTCCACAATCCAAGCCTCCCTAATGCTTCCAATCTTCCCATGCCAGTTCTGCTGGGTTCCTGGTGCTGGACCTGCCTCCACTGGAGTGAATGCCTACAGATGCCCAAACGCTCCTGCTCACAGCACATCCCGATGGCTCGCCCTGCATTGTCCCCAGCACAGAGCACGGGGAGGCGATGCASCCCCTTTCGCTGCCAGCCCAGCCACGGGACACTCTCCATCTCCCTGTGGCCCTCAACATCACCCAMCCTGTGCCTAAGGACAAGGACCTCAGCTGCTGCATCCCCGGGGAGGGAGGGCATATTTCAGGCCATGGCCTCCAACCCTCCGCCAGCACCAAGAGACACCCTTACCTATGTCAATAAATTATTACATAAACCCATCCATTGAGCTGCCTCTCTCTCTTTAACTTCCTCTTTGTCTGCTACTTTGGCACTCCTTGATCTGTCACCTTGAATACCAAAACATTTACAATTGCAGAGAGGAGGTGAGGGAGAGAGTCCTGTTACCTCCATACCTAYACCTGGATCCTCCCCATAACCCCCAATTATCCAGGCATTGCGCCTCCTACCAGGTTTGCTCAACTGTGGTTGGCTGGTCCAACCTGGGAGTTCCAAGACCTGCATAAACACCAACACCATCATCTCTGCCATCCTGACCCTGCTGCCGGCGCCCAGCTGTCCAGTCCCCACACCCTCAATGCCCTGTCCCTTACCTARGATGTGCCATAAAGCCTGAGCATGATTCTTCCCTTACCCTGCATCGGTATCACTTGGACACTGCATGTCACACCTCAAGGCAACGCCTTCCCACCCCTTTTCTCCATGCTTATCTCTTGGATTATATTGTAGGGTCAAGAAACAAAAAAAAAAAGCTCACACAAAACTGTCACGTCATCAGTAGCAACCAGCTTCTGATCCTGCAAATGTGCCAGGTGACATGAAGAAACCAGCACCCCAGAGGCTGCAGCTGAGCCTGAGGACCAAACCAAGGAGCAAGCAACCTTCCAGCATCACAAAAACCAAGACACCAACCAAGACAAGGCTCCACAGACAGAAGGATGCACCTACACTGGATCTCCATCCTGCTGTGCTCTGCCTGCACACCCCACTGCATGGAGGCCCTATCCTCCACACCCACCTCACATCACTCTGTTTCTCCCGTGTGGGATTCRCTTCAGCTGCTCCAAGATCATCTCCTGCAATGCTGTGCAGCTGGGGCAGAGAGTCACACTGTGAGCTTAGGGGCACCCAGTGGGTTCCTGAGCAGGGGAATAGGGCACAGCTGTGCCTCTCACCTTCTTCATCTACTCACCAAAGCCTTACCTGGGRCAGCATTCCTGCTGGGCTCAGGAATGAGGTCCAGGTGCCATCTTCCCAATGCTCTCCTGGCCCAYTGCAATGATTCCTTGTCCCCATCTGCCATCCCCGCTCCAGCATCCCTCCCCACGTCCCTCCCCGTTCCCAGCGGCGCAAGGGGAGAACGCGGGGGTGGCCCTGGCCCCCGCGGCAATGAGCACCACAACCAGACGGAGCGGCCACATGGAACAATCGTTTTAATGGATAGGCAGAGAGAGCCCCCTCGCCGCCCGCCTGCCCGCGCCCGGGCCCCCCGCGTGCCCCCCACCGCTGGCCGCAGGGAAGGAAAGGAAATCGAAGGAGGAAAACCAATCGCAGGAGAAACACCCCCCCGAAACACACGGCGAGGCAACGGGTCCCACGCCTCAGCAGGGGCCGGTTGCTTCGCCTTTTGTTATTTATTTTGTTGGGTTTTTATATATATATATATATATATATATATACACACACACACGCACACACACACACATATACATACACATATATATATATATATATAAAAATATATAAAACTGAGCTATATAGATCTCCCTCTGTCCCTTGGCTCGCTTCATTCCACCACAAAGGGGCCGGGGCCACGCAGCAAAAAGCGACGGAGAGGGGCCCCGGTCCCCTGTGACCCTTTGTCCCCGGTGACCCGAGGGTGGAAAGGCGAGGGGGGGTTCAGGGACGTGTGGACCGAGACGCTCGTCTCGTTGAGAACCGATACACACCTAACTCCATATACAGCATGCAGTAATGGCAGCGGAAGGACCCTGCTGGGAACCGTGGCTAGAACTCTAACAAAAAAAAATTATATATATATATATGTATATTTATATATACTGTATATATATATCCCATAAAAAGATTCAGTGTCTCCCTCCACCTCAACGCACGGCGAGTGTTGCCTGTGCCCTTGGCAGGAACTGTCCGGATGACCGCTTTTGGGCCGGTTTTAGGGGGGTTCAGCACAGGACTCCTCCTCTTCGCCGGGCTCACAAACCTTCTTGGCTGGTCACCTCCTCGGCAAACAAACTTCTCTCCGCTTGCTCCCCCTCTCCTGGATTGGTTTCTTTTTTCCTCTTTTTTTTTTCTTCTTTTTTCCCCTTTTTTTTTTTTTTTTTTTTTTTTTTTTTTTTTTTTTTTTTTTTTTTTTTTTTTTTTTTTTTTTAGGAACTAAGAGTTCTAGGCTCATATCAGAAAATACAATTAATAAAATTAACCATGAATCAGAATCCCTTATCATTCACGATGTCCGCGGATGGTTCGATGAAAACGTGGCTCGACGCCGGTCTCCTTCCTCCCTTTCCCTTCGTGGTGGTGTGGTAACTGTTGAAGATCTATATATTGATACATATATATATATATGTACATGTGGATATATATATATATATATATATTCTGAAACACAAATGGCGGCACAGTCCATGAGAAGACGGGGAAATCTCGGCAAAGGAGAAAACCGGTGTGTCTGGATGGAGGGTCCCACGGGAGGGAGCAGGCGAGCGGGGGCAGTGACAAGGACGGGGCAGGGGGCAAGTGCCACTCTCCAATGGCCCCATCCATCCTCCGTACTGGCCCATGGCAGAGGACGGCGAAAACAGGGGGAAAAAGTGGTAGGGGACAAAAAAAAAAACTAGGGTGAAAAGAAAAAGACTCAGTCGCATTGCATCTTCAGCAGGAAGCCTTGGATTATTAATTTTTTTCCTTTTCTCTCCATTTCAAATTCCCATTGTGATTTTTTTTTTTTTTGCGTGTTTTTCCTCTCTCCCCCTCCCCCAGGTGGCCTGGCCGGATACTCTCTCAATTCTTATGAATATTTTCGGAAACGGTGAACACTTCTTTCTTTCTTTCTTTCTTTCTTCTTCTTCTTCTTCTTTTCTCCCTCTCCTTTCTGCTTGCACTCGCTGGCCGTGGTCGTTGCCGCCGCTACTCCGCGGGCTGGCTCTCGGGTCAAAAGTGGCGGGCGAGGTGGGCGAGCGGGAGGAGCAGCAGCCACGCGGAGCCGCTTCGCCGCCACGCGCCGTTGTTCCCGTCGTGAACTGCACCAGGGCCTGCGGGAAGGGACAGGAACRCCCGTGGGGTTGGTCACAAAGTCAACAAGCAACAGAAACAGTGAAATAATAAAGAGCAAAAACCGATAAAGTCATTCTGTTTGGGGGCGCTGGTGGTGTTGCGCGTGGTGAGATTGCTTTCGGGGTGTCCCCACTCCATCCGTGCTGTCCTTAAGAACACGGGAACACCCATCCCTGTCCTCACCAATGCTGGTCTTTGGGACAAGATCCCCTGCAGTCCCTTTTCAGCCCTAAATCCCCATTCCAAGCCCACCCCCTGCTCATCACCACCATTCAACTTCCCTCAGCTCCCTTCACTCACCTACAAATCTGAGTTTCCAGMCACACCCCTGGGGGACATCACAGTTTTTGCCAGCACACCTTGCCCTCCCCATGGTGACCACCCTGTTTGCCACTGGTGTCCCTTGGGACGGGCAGTAACCAACCCCCACCCTGCAGAGACACTGCCAGCAGCTCTACATTGAGGACTTGGTGTTTTGCACCTCTTCAGAGTGTCTGTAGGGCTCAGCATGGACCCAGACCACYTCAAGGAGATGGGATGAGGAGGGTGGTCAAGAAGAGCCAAGCCCACCCATCTTTGGGGATCACAGGGGGTGACAATTTCAAAGTTCATTGTGGGAAATGATGTGGAGGGTGTCTTAGCCAATGGCTTTCACCAAAACACCCATTTTTTTAACCAAATAGTTGGCCCAGGAAAAGACCAAGGTGGGAAAAGACCTCAGGAAGGCATCCACGCTGGTGTCCTGCAGGAGCAGGGCTGACCACAGGTTGATTCAAAACTGCTTTTGAAACCCCAGGACATGTCCCCTCAATTCAAAACYTGACCGGGGCACTGACCACCACAACCACCTGGTTTCCCACCAGTGACACTCTCCAGCACTCTCAGACACCTCACACTTCACAAACCCAGGCACCAAACCCAGCTCTCACACACCGCCTCACATACAGACATCTACAAGTCATCCCAAGAACTGACTGCTCCTTTCATCACAAATGAAGCCACCTCAAAATCAAGAGGACACCAAGCCACCTGGCCGGACAGTAAGATAGCACAGCTGGCTGTCCTGACCAGGAATAACACCAGGAAGGGGACCAAATGCCTGTCCACCCCTGTCTCATCCCATAAAAAASGCATTAGAAGCATCCCAGAGGAGGAAGGACCTGCCACAAGACCCACTCACATATAGCACTGGGAAAGCAGCCCAAAAACATCCCTGCATTTGCCTTGACAGTGGGGAGGGAGCGGGACACCATGGGATGGGGACAGGCATGCAGAGGGCACAGACCACCACCAGACAGGCACAGCAGACTGGCAGCGAGGGGACAGGGTGGGAGGGCAGCTGAGAAAGCCCTAATTCATCCCTACACCGGTGAAAACAATGGGGTTGTGGGGCAGGAGGTCCAGGTGCTGGGTGCTGCAGCTCCTGCTGAGGTGAATTGTGGTGGGAGGACCAAGGGGAACATCAGGGGAAGCACTGGCATTGTGGGGGACCCCCAAATTACTGACCTTTCCAGGGTGTCAGAGCAGTAGTTGTCTCTTCTAAAAATTAAAGAACAAGTGAAAGTTAAGGCAAAAGGGCAATGGAAAGCGCAGGCTTGAGACACCTCCCTCAGCCTGCCCCCAACCTGGGGCGGGAAAACCGGAGGATGGGGTAGAAATGGGATCTGCTGCCCAAATCACACCCCACTGCTGTGGGGCCATGGTCCCCTCATCGTCTGAGATGAGCTGAATATGGGACCTTGGACCTAGCAAAGCCTGGAGTCGTACCCTGCACAAAAGGCAAAGCACAGGGGCTGGGATTGGGGGATTTGGGGGTTCACCTCTCCCCCATGAGTTTGGGGCCCATCCCTCCTGCTAATCCTGCAGCATCCCAAATGGATTTATTGCCTGACAGCTGCCTCTGGGAGCAGCACAGGCTGTGTGATGGGTGAGAAGCAGAGGGYTGTTTTTTTCTTCCTCAACTCCACAGAGCGATGTGGTTTCCCTGAGCACTCCATCACATCCCAGACAGCACCAAATGAGCCACTGAATGAGGCGGCAGGTCTGSAATAACGAGTGCTACATGTTAAATAAAGCACTAGTTGACCTCCCYGAAAAATTAGATTAAAAAAAGGATTAAAAGATGAATGCTACATTAGCCTCTTGCACAACCCCAAAAAGGCTCATGTCACAGTGCCTGCATGGATTAAACCTTAATTTGTGGGGGAAAAACTCCAAAACTCAGCTTCAGGGGAAAGGGACCAGTCACAAAATTTCCACCAAAACTTCACAGAAGAGACATTTCTCATGCGCAGGTAGCGCAGCCACCGCATCCGCTTCTCCCTATCTTTCATCACGATAAATAAAGACACATTAATCCCCAGACTGAAGTCACCACTGGCTTAGGGACAGGTAAGCTTGGCCCTGTGACATTCGGGGCCATCACATTGCTGATAATTAGGGAGAAGTTTTTTCCTGGGGGGGCTGGGGAGCCCTGTGTGTCAATGTCCCCTCAGGGGCTGTCACCCTGCAAGGGGACTCTAATTTTGTTCCCTGATTCACAGTCAGACCACAAAGCTAAGGTGGGGATCATAAAATAACCTTAGACTTTGATGGGATGCTTCTCTGCCTCCTACCCGATACTACCACAAGCCCCACAAACCAGTTAGAAACCAAAGAGCTCCTCATCAGGGAGATGGCATTTTGTTTTTGGGCTCTTCATCCAGCCTGGATCTGCAGATGCCAAACTGAAGGCCCCCACTAATAAAGATTTTAACCTCACAAACCCATCAGAAGGCTGCAACATCACAGCTAAGGATGTGGCTCAGGCTATGCTGGGCACTTGGCACGGMCACCCTATGCCTGCAGCACAGATGGAGCCAGGCCTGGGTGGCTCTGCAGTGCCAGAGGTGTTGGAATCCCTAAAACAGGCGGTTACTGGATCACCAGGAAGGCAGGGAAAAGAACTGAGATAGTTCCTAAGCAACGCTAATGATGGCTTAGCACAGGTAAACAYTCATCACATACAGCTTGGACTTCATTGGGGGAGCAAATGGGTCTGAGCACCCAAGAGGGGATGAACTCCTCTGCCACAGCTCAGGGGAGCCTGGCACACCTGCCAATACCAGTGGCAGGGGAGGACAAACCTGTCCCCTGATGTCACCCTGACCCCGTGGATGTGGTGTGGCCCCTGGCGAAACCTGACATCCTCTTCTCTCCCTAAAGGAGCTGCTGCCCTGGAACCCATCCAGATCCTCCCCAAAGCATGGACAGCACATCCCAGGGTCTGCACACACTCCCTGTGCTCCACTKCTCCAGAGCACCCCAGAACCCAGCACACACTGTGGGACTGCTCCCTATCCCGGGGCTCTCTGCATGCCAGGGGCACAGCCTGCCCTGAGCCATCCCTGACAGGTCTGGGGGCAAGGAAGGCTCATCTGTCCCTCTGCTCTGCTCCCCTCTCACCATACAAAAACAGGAGTCAAGGAAATGACCTGGCACAACAACTGCRTGGCAAGGAGGAGGACAAGGTTGGGGTGACATCAAGAGGTCCCCAGTCCCCATTTCTCCTCTATGGTTTAGCTGTGAGAATCACACGTCCCATACCCCAGCAGGAAAATATCCCCAAGTAAGAAAATATCCCCCCTCAAAACTCAGGGATAAGATCTGTCATCCTGGAGAGCACAGCYCCTGCTCTGGCTTTGCTGCCACCTGAGAAGGCTTGACAAACATGACAATCAATCACAGCCCTTCCCAGCCATGAGCAGTGCCAGAGGGATGCATTGCTCTCATCCCAACTCCAGCGTGCAGGGAAAAGAGTCCTGGGACAAKGGCACAACCCTTCTCCTCCTCCCTGCCCTCCCTCCACACCTTGGCACTGCCAACAAAGATGTATCTGCTTGGCAGGAGCAGAAAACCCAGCCTGGAAGGTGATGGAGCAGGGGGCCTGTTTGTTCTTGTGTGGGAATGGGGCAGAAATGACCCTGGGCATCACCTCTCCTCCACCCTTCACTAAGAGGCTCTCTAGGTACTCATCAGAGCAAGAAGATGGAAACTTGCAGCCAATTCCTGACTTTGCATTCAGGGAGGATCCCAAACACAGCGCCAACACCTCTGG